TTTATCACTCATCTGAGGTACTAAGAATTTGATGAGGATTAGGAGGAATAAGATGGGAAAATGAGGAAGCGATTTAGTAATATGAGAGTTGATGGTAAGCATTATTTTAGATATAAATAATACCCGAAAGAACGGCAACGATTAGTATGCTTAATGTCATCTTTATAACGTGAATTTCAATGTGATTTAATACCATCTTACGGATTTTAGAATAAAATATAATGAGCAAAATTGGGGAGGCCTTTGTCCAGCAGTGGACGTCATTTGGCTGAAACGAAACGAAAACAAAACGATCAAAATAGTTACTGACATACGTAAAATATGTATTTTTAAGGCCCGCACCCTTTCTAATAAAATCTTTCATGCGCGTTGAAGACTAGTTTAAGTAAGCTACTTCGTAACTTTTAACACACTTTAGGGGTATTTAAGAATACAATGTTAGAAGACATTCTTAAGAGGCCTCAGTAGAAACTTGAGGTTTAAATTATCCTTCTATTCTACCTAGCCACTTTTAAAACGTAGGTAAAGAATGCATGTTGAACCCTAGTCTAAAAATCGTGTGAGGCAAATTCGACGAAGCAATACGGTGCATTATCTATAAGTAGGTATTCCTGCAGCTCGCTTCAGGTCAAATCCGTTTAGCTATCCAATTTTGAGCTTAGCTAAAGCTGAAACCCGCGAGTAGTATACGTTGCTACGGAAAAAAGATACTTATGGCATTTCGAATGTAGAGTTAATAAAATAATGCTATGAGTAGTAATGCCTCTAAGTTGAACATAGTGGCAAGTATGCCTGAGTTTTTTTTACATTTATACACATTTTATTACTTTAAAGGAGCATCAAGATCAAAAGCAAATACTGAAAATAGATGGGTTTTTAAAAGTACACAAACATGGATAAGAAGATTTATAAAACTTTTATCTTACTTCTCTTCCTTCTATTCACTTGTATGTAGAAAATTGTGTTTTAAAAACGTAAAAACCATAATAAATATTTCACACCTACACATTTAAAACACTTTTGCTAAGTTAACTGGTTGCTTGCCAAATATGGCACCATTCTGCCGTTAGTACATTTTCATTTGGTGCAGTTAAGATTTAGCTTAACACTTCACTTAATTCACTTAAATAGGTAATTTCCCAGATATGGTAGTGTCAAAGCTATCATAACCACGTGGTGTCTTGGCACGGAATATTGGCAACATAACCATCTTGTAACACATGTTAATATTACACCTTATAAATGTCACCCTTCGGCTTAGTATTATTTATTAAGTTAATTAAGTTGAACGCAACGAAACAATAACTTGTGAATTACGACCTAACTTAGTTAGCCTATTAACTTGCGGTTAACAAGTTACTATAGGTTTTAGTTACTTATTGCTCGTAAAATCTGACATCTGAGTTTGTGAGCTCAGTTTTTTCAATTCACACGAAAGAAGAACCAAATGACCGCATGAACGGGAAAGCCGACCCCGCGTAACGGGATAAGGCGAGGCAGAAGAAGAAGATACGGAGAAGTTTAAATAACTTGGTATACAATGAAAAAAGAATACGGATGCTAACTTTTATTGATAGCGAATAATCTCTTTTAAACTAGGCATGTTTCCAATCTAACCCATACGTGGAAACTAATGGCCAATTCAACATATTGGTCATTTTGGTCTCCCCTGCAGAAGGACTGTCTAATTTACCATAGTCAAATGGAGGACTTGGCCTATACGCCTCAAGCTGGCCAAATGTTCGTCTATTTCTCCCTTAACCTAGGTGCAGACCACCGACTTTGTTGGCCGAAAGTTGAGTCGGGTTGTTAATCAACGGAACTATTCCCACCTCTCGTTCCCACCGCTGCAACTCCTGTTAGCCAGGATCTACAGCTTGACCGCCATAAAAACCCAACTAATGAAGGTCAAGGGGAAAGTTAAACTGTCATTGGACCCGCAACGAAATTAATCAGAAGAACATAGGAGGAGTTCGAAATTAAGGTTCGACTTCCCCCCATTGCAAAGCGGATGACAGGTGACAAACAAAGGTTTAAAACCTTTAAGAAATGATTATGGCGGGTTGTTAATCAGTATGGAAATGTATGAAACACACCGATTTGGTATCGGCCGAATCTTCATTCAATTATAATCGGGCTCAACTATCGGCCAACTAAAATTCGGTGGTCTGCGCCTTGGCTAAGTCATCCTTTGCGTCATCCACAGAAAGAGTAACCAAGTGACAACTTTAACCACAGAAAAGTATAAGTTATCTCAAGTTCAGCTTGATAAACGACCATAAGTGGACTTAGAACTTAGAAGTAACACTTGAAACTAATAGGAGCTAGGACATTAGCGGGCGACTAACGCGTCCCAGTAACGAGTTCTGGAGTGGGGTGATTCAGGACAGTTGTGGACTTGTTCTGTTTTTATTGTATACTTGGTTATGGATTCTGTGAGTGGACAGCTTGAGAGAGTAGACTAGAGTGTATCTAGAAAACTGTTATAAGAAGACTTATCTCAATATTTTGGTAGGGAAAGCTATGTTTTTGGGGACAGCTAGCTCACCGCGGCACGCCCAGAACTTCATTACAGCTGCTGGCGGTGAAGTTGTATCTTTGAAATACTAGCGTTTCAGCGGTGAGAACGAGAGGTGGGAAAAATTCCGTTGCCAACCCCAAGCATTATCTTTCATTTCAGTTATTTTCGGGGGTGGCGCTAATATACTCATATAAATATGTTTATAATTGAAGTTAATAATTGTTGAGATAATTTGGTACTCTCGTATGGATTTATAGTGTTCATGAGATTCAGATAATTAAATTCAAAAAAAGAGTAAGGATTGTTTATGACGACTTATAAAACCTGACACCTTGTAAGTATGTACCTAATCTCAGTTATAAATAAGAAACCACATGATAACATACTAGAATGACGAGAAAACAACCTGAAATATTTGAAAAACCTAAATTCTGGGAAGCTTTTTCACTGTAAGCTAATATTGAACTGGAGGGCAAACATAAAGGATGATGGGCANGTGAACATACATAGAAAAAAAAAAAAAACATACATACAGTCGAACATATAACCTCCTCCTTTTTTGAAGTCGGTTAAAAAGTATAAGTTGTCTCAAGTTACTTCAGCTTGATAAACGACCATAAGTAGACTTAGAACTTAGAAGTAACACTTGAAACTAATAGGAGCTAGGACATTAGCGGGCGACTAACGCGTCCCAGTAACGAGTTCTGGAGTGGGGTGATTCAGGACAGTTGTGGACTTGTTCTGTTTTTATTGTATACTTGGTTATGGATTCTGTGAGTGGACAGCTTCAGATAGTAGACTAGAGTGTATCTAGAAAACTCTTATAAGAAGACTTATCTCAATGTTACGGTAGGGAAAGCTATGTTTTTGGGGACAGCTGGCTCTACGCGGCACGCCCAGAACTTCATTACAGCTGCCAATATATTATTGGCGGTGAAGTTGTTTCTTTGAAATTTTGTGGGAATGAGAGATGGGAAACATCCCGTTGCCAACCCCAAGCATTATCTTTCTTTTCTGAAGTCAGATGTTTTAGGGGGTGGCGCTAATACATATACTCATATAAATATGTTTATAATTGAGTTAATTATTGAGATAATTTGGTACTCTTGTTTGGATTTATAGTGTTCATGAGATTCAGATAATTAAATTCAAAAAAAGAGTAAGGATTGTATATGACGACTTATAAAACCTGACACCTTGTATGTACCTAATCTCAGTTATAAATGAGAAACCACATGATAACATACTAGAATGAAGAGAAAACAACCTGAAATATTTGAAAAACCTGAATTCTGGGAAGCTTTTTCACTGTAAGCGAATATTGAACTGGAGGGCAAACATAAATTTACTTCTACAAACCAATATTTCCAGACTAATTACAATTTGGCGCCTAAATAAACGTGAACTGAAAATGTTGCTCGTTCCGTAAACACATCAGCGAAATGACTCGAATGCCTTCGGGACACTTCGAAGGCTTGCAAAGCTTTAAGTCTTAAAAGGCAAGGAATTTAATTATAAGAAAATGAGAAATAATATTATACAATCTCCTTGATTTAAAGTTGGAAAGACTATGCCTACGTCGCGTTCTGAATTTGAAAATTTGAAGCTTGACTACATTCTTTGTTCTTTTTTTTCTGAGTTTAGATTTTGACACTTTATTTTCTTTCTTTTTTATATTTTTATTCCTAATGAGGCTGATTTTTTTTTATTGCCTTTGTAATCTCTTTGCAAAAAGGGCTGGCAACTTGAGTAAAATAGTATTTGCATCTGTTTAAAAAAAAATGATAAGAAATCTGCCCCCCTAGACAAAACGCAATTTTTGATCGAATCGAAAATCGAATCCGTCAAAACTCCATACAAAAAAGGGGCTTTTCGACCACTTTTCGACTGGTTTGCGATTATAATTTGCACTTTGTCTAGACCCACTGAACGAGAGAAAAATTTACGTCAAGTTAGAAGAATTGACAGAGCGATAAAAAATAGGCGTTATCGTTATTCAATAATAGCTTTGGATTTTTCGGAATTTTAAAAATATACTCCGAAGACTATACCTACGTTATCTGACTGAAAATTAATTATCTCGCGTGACGTTTTTTTATTCAAGCTATTAACTTTAACACAGGATGTTGCGTAAAAACACGCCCAGCGTCCATAAACGCCGGCATATTTTAATTTGTAAAACCGACAACCAATATGGCAGCCAAACACTTCTTGAATATTTAACACCTAAAATTAAATTTGGGTAAAGATAGAAGAGTCAACAAAATCAAGTGCTATCATAAAATAATAAATGTACTTCAATCGTTTAACTTAGAATTTGGAATAGATTTTTGTAGTTTTATGGACCTGTTATAAATCTACAAATAGCAAATCACATAAAATAGCCCATAGTTTTTCGGTTTGGTAAATAACGTTTTATTCCCAATTTTAACATAATTTAAATCGGAGTGTGTTGTGTTTAAAAAAAAATGGTACTTACATGGGTTTTTTGATCTGGTTTCAACAGGAAATAATCTGAAAATAAACATAAAATTGTTAATTGATTTTAACTTGAACTTTAGAAACTCAATTTAGGTACCTACTCTATCTAAAGCACTATCTGAAAATATGGTAATGTTAAAACAAACGAGTAACTTTGAATTAATTGACGAAGTAATTGCTTGTTAAATTGTATTTAATTTAGTATAGTATAGCACACACATTTAAAACTAATCTAAATAATTTGAACCAAACAATCTACAGTTCAATTAATACAAACGTTTGTATGGATTTATTGAGCTAATGCGGCTAAATACATCGACAATACGCATCGGGCATAACTAACGATCCAATTAAGTCGATGAAATTATTACGAGTGGCACCGAGCACAGCGGGTAGCGGAGCGGTAGCGGGAGCGAGAGCGGGATATGAGTATTCCTCTCTCGTGAATTCCCTAGATACTCAAAGCTTGAATTCTAGTCAGATTTCAGACTTATTCCGGAGCGTGGTTGGTTAAATCTCAATATTGATGTAGCGGCTCGACTTTTAAAATTAATACTAATCACTGGCATGTCTATTTTTGAGAATTTTATTAATTGCCCCGATTCGAGTAAACACTTGTGATCAAAAATGGCAGTGCTTGAACGACGGCCTGATTGAACAAAGATGACATTAACATTTGAATGTCTTTTGTAAAAACTTAGAACAGACATTTGACAATATTACCCAGTAAAAAACAAATATCAATACTTAGCGGCCAAAAGATTTCAGATACGTTCCTATTTCCAAGAACTTTTGAGTAGGTATAATACAAACGAGCCGAGTGTGAGATCAAATAAGAAAGGAAACATAAAATTATTAGAACTTTTCTGATAGCTTTTTGGCTTATGAATCCAGTCAACTGTTTTACTGTATTCCAATAGATTTTCACATTTACTTCTACTTGACTGAATACGAAGATAATTAATAGAGTAGTCGTAAATTAAAAGGTTTAAAGCCGCTTTAAATCCCGCGGTCATTGCGACCACGCCCTATTAAAGCTTAATTCACCAAAGTGGACATGACATACAATTGGGCGCGAATTAATAATACTCGTACTTTTGTTAAATGACTACGTAGGTTAAAAAGTTTAGAATATCATTTCCATACCAAATGTCAATTTAAACTAGAGTTTAACCAGAGTCCAACTTTCCGGACAGCCGCTTGGGCGGGCGGAAGGAAATAACTAAAAATCCTTTGGTTTAAATAAAGGTGTATTTTTTCCAAAAATGCCCAGACGGCTATCAAAAACAAACTTCAAATGTTTAGTTTCAAAAAGAATAAAAAAAGTATAAAAACATAGACAAAATATCAAAAATAGGTTGGTTCACCTATCGGTTCCCAACAGGGGTTGTAGTTTAATCACTGATGACCAAGACAGACGGACAGTCGGACAGTGGTCTTAGTAATAGGGTCCCGTTTCTATCCTTTGGGTAAAGAATCCTACTAACAATGTAACGGTAAATGGTAAGTATGGGGTTATTCAGGATCCACTGGAAGTTTTTCTACAACATAAAAGTTACATTAACGCTCACCCACTTCTTATTACCACACCATGATTCCGATCAACAAAACAATGTCTAATTGCTTCCCCTTCTGCTACTTTCGCTATATTTCTTTTACACCTACAATCATTACTAACGAATAAAAACATTCCAAGAAAAGGCAGCATGAAATACTGTCATTAACGTCAAATAAACGCTGATTTACAAAGGATTTGTATGACTTCGACCATGACGTAATAAGGCTTTATGCTTATGACGTATTGTTCTTCTATTGACCACGTTTGACCACAATGAAAGTAACTGAATTTTTATGACTTAACCCCTGAATGTTAAATAAATCTTTACATAGAAAATAGGCTTATTGTTCTTTTATTTCGGCCATTTGGATTTAACCCCTGAATGTATGTTAAATAAATCTTTACATAGTAAAACAAAGTCGCTCCCTCAGGTTTAGATCTTTTATGCTACGCAATGTATTTTAAAATGTGGTTTTCATTAATGGATAGAGTGCGTGTGAGTGATTCAAAAGGAAGGTTTTATGTAAAATACTTCACCCGGACCCGTACGAAGTCGTAGTGGGTCGCTACTTCATTATAAGTAAGTAAAGTTATAATATAAAAGGTACCTTTAGACAAGGGTATGATATAAAGAAAATAAGATTTTGAAATGCGTAAAATTCGGTCATTTTCTTTAGTTAAATAGTTTATTTCCAAATAAAGTTGCCCAATGTAGAAAATGACCAGACCGTCACTAAAAATTGCAAAGTTTTTTGCCTTACTTTTGTTTTCAAAGCTTCTTACAGACAGACACACTAATAGGTAAGTTTCTTGATAAGTAATATCCCTCTAAAATATTCACAACTATTATTTTCAAACCAAAAAACTTATGTTACTTTTATGCGCATCATTTTTTTTAATACAGCAACTGGATAATTACCAGCCTAAAAAAAATCTTCTAAAACCGCAACTCTACCAATCGGAAATTAAGTATCTTCACCTAAAATAGGAAATCCTTGTCTCTATCTTTTACTAAAACAATATCTAATTTCATTTATAACCGTTTTATTCCCCACAAAAGACACATTAGCAGACTCTCTCATTCAACTGCATTAAGGTCCCTTAAAAATAAATATAAAACGAGAACAAAAGCGGAAACCTTGCCCTTACCTAACAGGTTACGTAAGCCCGCCTTTAAATGCACCAGGCTTATCCCTAGAGCCCTCCAAATATTTATTTTACGGCGAACGAAACAACCCACGATCACGCAACATATAAAATCCCTTTTGGGAACAGTTAAAAATCAAGATAAAGCCAAAATTCTGTCACTGGTTTCAAAAGCGCGCTCTTCAACTTTTTTTAACCAAAAAAAGTTTCACACGCCCTTTTTGAAGCTACCACGCAAATCAAAATGTTATTAATTCGAACATTTTATGTTATAAGACACTTAAAAACGAAACTAAACGTCGTCAACGTTTATGCGATACGAAAATTAAACTTCGTACCATAAAATACGGGTGCGGATCGTAAAAGTTGTAATACATAAACGTGCGGGCGAAGGCACTAAAGTTCTCCAACTCGATGCAGACTAACTTCCTAACTCGAAATCGAAGCACACACTCGACATAACTTAACCCTTAAAGTACGGGGGTTAAAAGAATAAAACCAAGCACTTAAAGAATTACGAATACGAGATAGGAAAACTTTTTAGTACTTTGTTCCAAATTCAAAGGTGTTACCAGCCAATGATTAAAAAAAATGGATAAAATATTTCAAAATTCGAAATACATTCGAATTGTGTTCTATATTTAATTTAAAAATAAAACATCTAAAATTCGAAAAAACTGTTCCAATTTTGAATTTGGTCTTTGGACTAGTGACGTACCTGTGGCGGCGGCTGCTCTCGGCAGTGGAGCGTCGACAAGTGCCGCGCGGCGGGCTCGGAGCGAGCGTATTGCATCTGCAAGACCTCAGGCCGATTGATCGTTCGGATTCCTGGGCAGTGCTGCTGAGTAGGTTCGGTTTTTTACCCCTTTTGTTTATTTAGTTTTGGCGGCGATACAAAAGATCAAAGATACCTCCCACTTGTATCTGAAAATAGTAAATGTAACATGATGTTCAGTAAACAGGAAACGGTAAGGTAAGAAGATAATTGCGATGATATGGTAAATCAAATAATACATTTAGATATTAAAATATTTATTTTCTCTTTAATTTGTAAAAGTTTTAATTTCATTGTTCCTGAATAATTTAATAAATTATAATGAGATTTTCTACATTCAGGCTTTGTTCTTCATTTGTGATTTATGGGTAAAGTTTTATTCAGACGTTTCCATTTATTTACAGATACTTATGATTTCTTTAATGACATTTGTGTAATAAAACAGATGTTTAAGCTTCGTTTGTTAATAACTGCAATTTTTAAATAAAGCTGTTTAAACTCTATTTAGTTTAAAATAACTTCATTTTCTATTTGCGTATGAATGCAGGATTTTTTTCCACAAAAGGTGTCTCTTATTTTTTGTAAATGAATATACAGAATGATTCTGTGGTAGGTGCTCAAAAAGCTGCTTCTTAGGCTGGATTGCACCATCTTACTTTAACGGTAACTATAACAATAACCGGTTTTAACGTAATAAATTTTGACGTTTGTTAAAGTCAAAGTATGGTGCAAGTGTGCAACCCAGCCTTAGAGTTAGACTAATTTAATCGATATTTTTCGAATCACACGTAAGTGATGCCAAGTTCCCATCACTATCCCGAGATTGGTATCTACGATTGGTCGTGTATCACTTTCAATTTAGCAAGCAAATTGACTCTTTCAGATTCGGGGATCTCCCTCGTCTGATATACGTGGGAACACGCCTGAAATATGGCGGAGATTTGGCAGTTTACAAACCTGCGGCATTATTTATGAGGTCTTTGCACGTTTAATAACGCTAAGTGGAATGGTTAAGGAAATAATGCGTAGGTAATACTTAATTGGGAAGGAATATGATATTAATTATTGTTTTTGTGGATCTTGCTTGGACGCAAGGGCATTATAAAAAGCTTATTTGCTTACTGTTGTATTGTCATAACAACAATACCTATCTAAATAACAGAACTATTTTTAGTCAATATTTTTAACATAATGCTTATTCAAAGTCCACAGCAAAATAATATACCTAATAACTGTTTATCCCTGACAAATATGACTACGAAAACGTTGAGTCTAGCTTCGTAAATAAAATGCCTTCAAAAGTAAAGTTAATTTAAAATTACTTATTTATTTCCGTGCATCAAAGTAGGTATGTACTTGTACATATTTTACAATACGCATACTTGCATACCTTTTTATATTATATTCTACGTATCTACTAGACTTTGGAGAAAAAACTCACCTGTGCTACTTCAATCAAGAAGAATTTATTAAAGAACGCTGCCTGTCACAGAAGCATAAATGTTAGGTACATATTTTTACATACACTTCAACATAAATCTTTCAATTTAATTTCATCATACTAAACTGCCTCGTATACTCTGATTATCACACATTATATCCGAACGTCCTAATATCCCGGCGTAATTAGGCCCGGGCCGTAAAGTCCGGATTGTATAATATCCGGAACGCACTGTTCCGGATAATTGGTGCGTTATGGACTTTTGCGCCTCAGCCTTAACTATGCTATTTCAGGGTAGGGATGTGCATTACTTTTAATAATACACTTTATTTAAAATACAGTAGGTACATTTTGCTTAGAACCAGATTTTTGTTTCAATCAGGTGAAATACAGGCCAAGAGCTCCCTCGTTGTGGATAAAAAATATATATTTTTTGTGGTTAAAATAATATTCTGTATTAAATTGACTATGTCGTCGCTAAAAATATTTCATGATTTAGCTCAAACATAAATTAGACCGAAAATGGACGTTGTTCTAAAAAAACAATTGAATTCTTTATTTCTCAAGACAGTGAAGGGAAAATGAATGTTATCGGTATTTTCGGCAGATTTTTAATTTATTTCTTCATTGTTAAAAATAAAAATTTAATTCTCAGGAGGACACAAAAATGCGATTCAATAGAAACGCCTTTTAGTGAGGGCTACCCTATTATCCTTGTCTATTGTATTTGAGACTTACCGTAAGATCCTGTCATTCGCTGAGTGATTTTAAGTTAAAGGAAGCACTCACCATGTTAGCGCTATGTAGGTCCTGGTCCTGTCATTCGCCAGAGTGGCGCCAACTAGTGAGAGCTAATACTAAGCCCTCGTTGTCGCGATCCACGGTAGAAGAAGCAGTTATTGATATGACATATTGAACAGACCTCGTTTTGTATTGCATGTCAAAATATGTGTTGTTTATTTTGAATACGCATTGCGTGATGTCACAGTTACGTTCCTCTTTGATTGCGTCGATAATTTTAATATTTGATGGTTTTGATTTCGTGCGGTGTGTTATGTACAGGCGCGAGCAGTTCAGGTTTATCATGAGGACTTCTTCAATTAATTTGAAGTTGTATAACTTCAGTATAAAGTTCAAAATTGATTGATGTAATGTATTTTTTTTAGGATACTGCCAAAAAATGTTGCGTGTGAATGTGGGGAGCAATCAAATAACTCAAAATTAATACCTTTTGCATACTTATGCCAAGGCAATATAGTTGAAGAAGTATGCACATTGTGTTCGTGACTGTACGACGAATTTCAGATTTAAGGGAAAATGCTGACGTAATTATTGATGCTATTTCTGATATGGGAAGTAATTAACACGTTTTAATTACTCTTATCAAGTTTATGTTAATTTTTATAGGTTTTTTGTTAGTAGCTTTGACTTGAAAGGAAATTGTTTAACTAAACAACTGCTCGTAAAAGATTTTATATCCAAGATATTTCAATGCCTATTAAATTACTTACTGTAAAAATAGTTAAGCTTCATTATCTTTAGCAAATAGTGATTGTTTTCTAATGTTTCAAAAGGAAACGAATATTTTGTATCAGTATAGATCATCATCATCATTTTCAGCCACAGGACGTCCACTGCTGAACATAAAAGGATCGCCCAATGGTTTCCACATAGCCCGGTTAGTAGCGGCCTGCATCCAGCGTCTTCCTGCTACCTATGACCCATACCCATATAATAAGTCGTCGGTCCACCTTGTGGGTGGAACTGGACGTCCAACGCCTTATCAATATAGAGAGATATGTCACAACTAATTATTTTGAATTAAAAAAAATAATAATTTAAAATGCAAATTCTAGTACCTATTGCAAATGTGGGTAGATAATAATAAATATTAAAGTCCATTTGCAAAGCACACACGGCAAGCAGGAAACGTTTTTGTTCACACGACACGGCATGACTCAATTATGAATGTGAATCGTCATTTGCCGAATATCGATTGACGGAATATCCGCAACACAATCGACTAAACATCGGTCACTTACAACTGTCATTTGAATTCAATTATCGATGGACAATTTGAGGAATATTGCAGGTTTTTAGTCGTGGGTTTTAATTTGACGTTTTTATACTAATTGACAGTTCCCGCTACGGGTCGATAACGACTACGAGTTTCGATTGATTTAATTATCATACCGCGCTCAGGTCAGAGCTTATGTAGGTAAGGGTCTAAAATAAGATTAGTAATTTTTTATGGAAAAAATATCGATAATAATCAAACATCACTAAACTGCGCGTAGTTAGAGTGTCGATGAAGAGGCAATTAGTGGTGCGAACGCTTCCCGGGACGTTACGGCGATGTAAATGTCCCGGAATTATAGTTGTTCCTGCGAATATAATTCCCGAAGAAAGTTAGCGCGTCTGTTCAAACATTTGCTGAGAACTCGCGAGGAATTCTGACTCCGTGTAATGCTCTTTGTTTAATTCTCTCATTTATGAAATTTCAAATCACTAATTTATAGAGTAAGAGTTTATTAATCTGTGAACGAGTTGAACTCTCTTGATATGGAGACTGGTTTTTGATTCCCAGGCGGTGCAGATATTTCTTTGAATATTTATAATTAGGTCATGGCAGGCTTGAATCAAACAAAAGTTGAGAAAAAATAATTGGTTTCATCATGTCAAACGCATGAAAGTATTTATGTTGTTGTGTTGCAATTTCTCTAGTCTTTAGGGGTTCCTACAATCTTATACGAGTAGGTATGCAAGTATTCCGCATCTAAAACTAAAGTCCATTAAGTGGATGACTGTAGGTAGGTACATAAAAATATCTAAATGCCACAAATTGTGCTGAAACGCTTATTCAACTTACACTCAGCTATTATAGTAGTTTCCTGAAGGATAAAACAGGGAGAAACTTAGCGCAGTGTTCAAACATTCGGTGAATCCCGTTCCCGTCGCGGGATCCCCGGGATTAAGCTCGGGAACAGTGGACGGGACGCTTCTACAAACATCGCTAAAGACTTAAGTGCATTGAGCGTCAGTTTGAGGGAATGCTACGAAAATTATAAATGAGTTTGTGTGTTCCTTACGCCGCATTTCAAATAGAAGTTTTTGTTTAAATAAAACTTTCGTTGGAGAAAAAGGATAAATCGCTGGAAAATTTAAGGAAAGGTTGCGTATAATGATGCCAGAACTGATAATTAAGCTTCTTCTTCTTCTTCTTTTATTGATGGCGATGAACTTGTGCTTTTTCGCCACTGATAATTAAGCTGAAATCTTATTAAATATGACGTGACGTCAATTTACAGGTTATATATCTACTCAATTTCTTCAGTTACATTACTTCATAGTCCATCTTTTCGGCCCCAATCTCGGGGCATTACATTTTAATATCCTCCTTCATTTTAAAAACGTTGGTACATTTCGTTCTGTTTGTCTTCGAAATGAAAAATATCAGGATTGCGACTTCTGAATTCAATTTTCTCTTCGAAACAAACTCGCTGCAGTGCACAACTAAATCCAACTGCAGTATTAAGTTTGCCGCGACTTATGTTTAGCAGTTGACCTTTGGAAAGACT